TAATTCTGATAATGTAATTCACATTATCTATATTAGAATATCTTCTCAATGACTGTGATCACCTAAGCATTTATAGAAGAGTCTCCTTGTTATATTAAATGTTATTAATGATAACAGCCACCATCTACTGAGCACCTACCAAGTGCTAAGAATCATGATAGCCTCTTTAGATACATAATTTCCAATATTCATAACATTCCTTTCACCAAGTTCTTATTCCCATTTTACAGAAGAGGAGGAAATGTAACATTACATCGCAAATAAGTGCCAGAATCAGCTTCTGAATGTACACTTGAAACTTCCCTATCCCTTCCAACTTAGTCATTGATCATATGCTTTTGTCATAGATCATGTATTTTGTTTAGTTGCTCAGTCATGTCTGACTCTTTGAGACCCCATGGACTGCAGCACTCCGAGCTTTCCTGTCCTTCACTAACTCCCAGAATTTGCTGAAACTCATGTCCATTAAGTGGATGATACCATCCAATCATCTCATCCTCTGTCGCCCCCTTCTCCTGCCTTCAACATTTCCCAGCATCAGTCTTTTCCAATGAATTGGCTCTTTGCATCAGGTGGCCAAAGTATTGGAACTTCAGCCTCAGTCCTTCCAATGAATATTCAGGATTGATCTCCTCTAGGACTGATTGGTTTGATGTCCTTACTGTCCAAGGGACTCTCAAGAGTCCTCCCCAGCACCACAGATTGAAAGCATCAGCTCTTCAGCACTCAGCCTTCTTTATGGTCCAACTCACATCTGTACATGACTACTGGAAAAACCATGGCTTTGACTATACAGACCTTTGTCAGCAAAGTGTATATAGACATTCAATAAAAATTATTTTATTTTCTTGTACCTTGCTTTTCTCCCTTTGTCAAAATAAACTCAAGACTGCTTTTTAATGTTAGCATAGGTCAGAACATCATTCTTTTACATTACACAGAAGTGTCTTGCACACAGTAGAAAGCTGGTAAATATTTGTTGAATGAGTGATAGATGAATGGATAATGATGATACCTACTATTACGATGTTTAATTAATTTTGCCTAGAAGACATGAAAATGAGACTATTTGAACTGAAAGAATAAGGACTAAGACTAGTAAAATCTAAATTTCATGCTTATTTTTCAAGCCTCAGATTTCCTTCTGTGGATTTGCTCCTATAGTTCTCCTGATTCAGCCTGAAACCTGTGACAAGCTTAAAGGAGATCTGTCATGCCCAGCCAGCCCAAATCCAATGCAAAATACTCCTGTATCTCAAGTATGTTTGATTACTTCCGTTTGTACCTTTCTTTAAGATTTAATATTAGTTCATCAGAATGAAAATATGATCTTCCTTCCTAGGTTGTTGTTGTTCAGTCGCTCAGTCATGTCCAACTCTTTGTGACCCCATGGACTGCAGCACAACAGGCTTCCCTGTCCTTCATCATCTCCCGGAGCTTGCCCAAACACATGTCCACTGAGTTGATGATGCCATTCAATCATCTCGTCCTCCACTGTCCCCTTCTCCTCCTGCCTTCAATCTTTCCCACCAATCTGGGATTCAAAGCTATGGTTTTTCCAGTAGTCTTTCCTAGGTAAGCAGGTTTAATCTATATTTCCATCAGCAGGCATGTGTATATTGAAACGATATTATTTGTACAGGTCAGGCTCAAGTTTTCAGATGCTTAGTGAAGTTACCCTCTAGTTTTCCCACTTCATGCACTCCTTTCTCCCTAAAACACAGAAGCCTAAGCCTGGCAGAGGCTAGCGATCCAAGGTATTCCTGGTAAACTCACCATGCATGTTTTCACTTGAGTGAAAAAACCTATACAGTTGGTATTAAATAACTAATTAAAATAGTAACTGGGTTTACAAACATCTTCAGATACTTGTTTCTAACAAATTGACCCTTTCCCGAGACCCAGGTTAGATCCCTAGGTCGGGAAGATCCCCTGAAGAAGGGAATGGCAACCAACTCCAGTATTCTTGCCTGGAGAAGTCCATGGACAGAGGAGCCTGGTGGGCTATAGTCCATGGGGTTGCAAAGACCTGGACACAACTGAGTGACTAACACACTTTCACTT